ACAAATCCTCTGCTCCTTTAGGGACACTTCAAAGGGACCAACTATACCTCCTTCTTTGTAATACTCAACAAAGAAACACTCTCCAAGTACGACATCCTACGCTGGAGACCCTCATTCCTGCAAAGAAAGATGCCAGACCTATGAGCCTTCAGGTTTCTTTCTATTCCATTCTCAAACAAAACTCAGTGGTGTTGGAAGAGTCCAGCCAGGCAAGGGACGTGGAAGACTGGGTCAAGAGGGATGGAGGCTTGTGGGCTGATGGAACGGGACTGGAGGGCCTGTCACTTGTACCTGCCACATGGCAACCACTCCTTCCACGGGACCTCAGCCAGGGATTTAGTCACCATGTGTCTGGCCCCCTGCTACCTCATGGGGCCATCACGAATTGCATTTGATAAATAACACTGAGCCAGGAAACAGAGCCCTGTCCCCTCATCAGCACGAGATTCTGCCACTGTCCTCCCATCCCCACGGCTTCTCCCCTGCCCTGCAATGTCATAGGAAATTTAGCCTGAGCCTGACTAAAATGGAATCAAACATTTTCCTATAGGCTATTTTTCAACAACCTCCTCCCCAAATAACCTCAGGATTCAGTGGTTTACAGTGCTGTTACCCCTTGACGGGTAAAATGCAGACAGCCTTTGTTCCCACGCAAAGAGTGAAGAGCCTGAATTCCACAAACCAAATAGGAGGTAATTTTCTCTTGGCGGAGTTTTCCAAGGGTCTGAATTTCTTTTATTTAGTTATTTTTTGGAGAGGGAGGTTGAATAGGGTGGGCATAAAAAGACGAATTCTGGCTCGTCATTTCAGTTGGAGGGTTGTGTCTGCCATATTTTTCTCTAGCTTTTCTCCGCTCCATCCATTCTCTTGCCTGTATCACCCTGTCCCTGAATAGTGAAGGTAACTGTGATGCTGGGCACAAAGGAGCACCTCTGTTGAAAGGCGCTGGCACAGGCTGGGAGGGCAGGAGGTGTGGTTCCTGCGAGGAGGTGCGATGGGGCCAACCTTCCAAGAGAAGCGGCTTCAGCGTGAGCTTGTAAAACCTCAAACTTGCCGGAGTGGGTGCACCTGTTAGTCGCTCCTGTCAGGTGGTTCCGTCTGTGCTGTCCGCCCTTCCTCACGTGCTCTGTGTGTTGCTGACGAACCAGAACCACGGTGGTGCTCAGCAGGGTTTGTTGGCTCACTCTGTCTTGGATCGTGACAAGGAGAAACGGCAGAGAGCAGAGACGGGAGGAGGGAAAGGACCAGCGGGAAGACGTGAGAGCTGAGGCCGCGGGCTGAAGAGAGCTGCTGATCCGCTGATGGCCTAAAGAGGCTGGGCGTGAGCAGGACGCGAGCAGCAGCCTGCCGGCCAGCATGACGGATGGTCCCTCCAGCTATCAGCTGTTACCTACACGAGGCCTGTGTACCCGCCCCTACATCCTCCTTTCTGGGCTTCTCCCACTTGGGGCCTGGGGGCAGGCAAGGAGTACTGACCATGTTGAGAATTCATATGAAATAGTTCCTTGCTGAGGGGAAGTGCAGGAAGACTCAAAGCAGGACACATCGACATCAGAGACAGTGTCAGCTCTCTTTGCCCATTCTTATTGGCTATTGACTGTGGGTGCTTAAAATATGGGATCCCTTCAGGTGACTGGCAATGCTCTCTCGGCTCTCTAGCAAAGGCACTAGGTAAGCCCAAAAAACAAAGAAAGAGTCTGGTGTGGAGGCTCAGTCTATTTTAGGGCGGGCAGGTTGGCAACCTTTCCACTGTTAGATTGCACCATTGTTTTCAACGGATTTAAAATATTACAACTGACAGGAGAGGCTGGATCTCTTGAAGATTTGAGCCAATCAAGGCAAATATGGCACATTTAAAAAGGCTAGAGCAGGGATATTCAAATATGAATGTCCACAAAATGTATTATCTGCAAAACTGTGGCATCAAGCCAGCTTAGTCTCTTTTCTCTTTCATTCATTCAACAAATATTC